TTACCTGCCGTAACGCACTTCCGTTGCATTTGTGTAACCCTAGTCGCGCCTAAAGAAGTTTTACTTTTCAATTTTCAAAAAAAAAAAACGATTTTCTATATTTTGAAAATTCAACTCTTCAAGAAACTATGTGCAAGAATTTATCTACTGCGAAAATGTGATGCGGTTGGGCAATAATAAATCTAATTTAATTGAAAATTGAATTTAGTTGGGTTAAGTATATATATATATATATATATATATATATATATATATATATATATATTATATATATATATATACATATATTCAATTACGATCACACCAGCGATTGGATACATTATTTGCATCTTCCGCAAACGCGAACACAAAGCAATCAAGTGCGTGGGAGGCCCCCAGACATATCGTGCCCCTCCAATATCGTTCTCCTACGCCCATGCCCCAATTTTTGGGGCCCATATGATAATACGTCTCCGCAAATAAACCGAATTAAGATTTTCCACACTTTCTTTCCTTTATAAGATATTTGTTAGCTGATAACGCGCGACTGATTGGAACATGGAAAATTCCCAAAGAGTGAGATGTTTCTATTAAGCGAAGGGTATTGTGATAAAAAATGAATAAGGAATTGAGAATTCTTATTAGGAAATGAATTTTATTTTGTATTATATTTTTATGAAATTGAAAATTGATAGCTGTCCTTCTAGTGGTGCATGGCATCGTGCCTTAAGGCAAATTGCTGAAACTTCGCCAACCGAAAAATGTTTTTTTTTTTAAAAAAAAGTCCGAATTTTGTTTTGAAAAGTTTAAAAAATAAATTAAATTAAATTTATTAGTAAATTTGAAATAATCTAAAATTTCTGACATTTCTGAAAAAAACTTTGAAAAATTGGTTCTTTGAATGTTTTGAATTTTTTTATAAAAATTGTCTTTTTTTTAATTTGAAATATTCTGAAATTTCTGAAAATGTTGAAGTATTTTTTGAGTATTCGCGCTACTTAAGCTGCCTAGAAACAAAATATCGAAGCGCATAAGCGCCGTGTCGCACTTTAACGAATAAACATTCATACAGAACCCATAGCAATGTAAACAAAAGTATTTATTATCAAAACATCTGATAATTTGATGTGCATATGTCTAATGATTATTTTTGTCCACCAAATGGCATTTCCTTTTACTTGTTTTATTGGATTTCTAGAACCGCTAGATCTGCCTTCTCAAAAATTTGATCAAAAGTTTTTTATCTTGTCAATATAAGTGAAATGTTTTTTGAATTATTGAAATTGGTTGAATCGTATTTCCGAAATTGCCGACGAAAATTTGTATCTGCACACACGCACACACACATTCATCCATTTTTTCTAAAGTGTGCCAAAATGTTCAGAAACCGTAGATACTTAGATATATAAAAAAATGTGCAAATGTTTTTTAAACAATTCAAATCGGTTAAACTGTGTTCTGGAAAAAATGTATCCGCACATACATACACATGTGCTAATTAACCTGAAATCTATGGAAAGAGAAAGAGCCAAAGGAACTTTGCTCATTTAAATGATGAGTATAAAATCAAGTTAGGAATGAATCAGTTTATATTATTCTTTGTAATTCAGTTTATATTATTCTTATAAATATTAGACAATGTTCTTCATTTTAAATCCGACTGATTAAGTTTTGTTTATTCACTTTTCTGTAAACATATAAGTTACAGTATTTAAAAAAAATCTATTTGAAAACATTCAATATTCCTCAAATATTTCATTACGTTACGGAAAGTTCTAGCAATTTGCCTCAAGGCACGATGCCATACACTACTAGTTTTTTCTTTCAACTATGTCGTTGGCCTCCTGTCTAAGGATATCCATAATATCCGGCATGCGATGAATGGCTCGTTATTTTTTTCGCTAAAACAATAAACTAGTTTTATGTGTTTATGCGTCGGAAGCATAAAAAATTTCTGCAAAACTTTGCTATTTATAATCAAATCAAACGATCATCACATGGACTGAAGGAATCATATTTTGGCGGAAATAGGAAAAATGATAATTGACTTCCCGAAGGAGAAGTTTGTTTTCATAAAAAATTCTGATTTGCTAATTTTATGTTTTCTCGACGTTTCAAGTCATTCTGAATCGGATGAGACCAACATTTGGAAAAAGTGTTTGTGTGTGTGTGAACAGATTTTTTACTTTAAATCGAGGTTTTCTCAAAAACGGCTGGACCGATTTCGATATATCGAAAATTTAAAAGCCATTCGATGTATCTCGATGAGGACTATCGTTTGTCAGTTTTGCACGACGATCAGCCAAGCCGTTTCTTAGTAATTAAAAGAAAAGTGAAAAAATCTTGTCTACGTTTTAGCCAAAAATTCTGACAAGAAAGAAATTCTTCTATTTGAAAGATATTATTTGGTAATCAATCGTGGTGATTAGTTTTTTCGTAATTAACTGTTGAATTTTTTTTTTCGATGATTTTTTTTTAAGTTGATAGACATCATAATCCTAAAGAACATACTTGAACTTTACAACCCTACGGCAAGTAGTTTAATTTTAAAAATTCAAAGTTTGTAAAAATATTATGGTCAAAATTTGTGCCAAAATTCGCTTTTGTGATGTGCTGAGTCAAAATTGGAATATCACAAATTTAAAAGTCATTTTTTGGAATGAGCATCAAAATAAGTCTACAAAACTTCTTTAGTTGTGTGAAAAATGTTACCATTAATTTAAATCATTAAATAATATCAGATAAAATTTAGTAAATGCTCTATACACTTAGATATTAAAATTTCAAATTAAAACTCAAACTTCAATTCAAAACATACATTTACTTGTTATACAATTAGCAACGGGACATTTTGTTTTACTTTTCGTCAAATAACTTTTAATTTTTTTCCCGGACATTTTAATTTATTTACTTTAATAAAGAGTAGATAAAATTTACTTAAATCTAGTAAAAACTTTTATATATGTTTGGATAATAAAATTTTGAATAATTCGTAATTGAAATGCGAACTTTACCTTTTGATAATTTGCCATATATGGAGCACATTTTTTTGCTTTTCTTCAAGAACTTTTAATTTTCTTTTCGGACATTTTAATTCAGTTACATTGGTAAGAAGTAGATAAAACTTACTAAATTCTAGTAAAAATTGTGTTTTATACACTTCAATATTGGACTATCAGAGACTAGGTACATGATATACGTAATCATGCAATTGACTAATTTCATCTAAATATCTAAATCTCAATTTCGGTAGATTTAAGTCAATTATTACACATTTCGGAAAGTCTATGTAACTTGCCTCAAGGCAAAATGCCACTTTCAACTAGTTCAAAATTATTTTGATTACTTCTATTACTATGTAGACTACACGGGGCTAATAATCACTACCTCTTCTTCAAAGTTCTGCAAATAGCCTCTCGACGTTTTTATAGCTCCGTTTTAAAAGTCTTTATTCTCTAAATTGTAAAGTAATTGTCTTGCTGCGGCAATTAGTTACTAAAATAGAGCAACATTTTCCGTGGATAAAAATAGCAAGAGTAGTCGTAGTATTTTTCCGAGCAAAAAGGACTTATCTTTTAGCTAGAGTCGTAATCATGGCCCGTTTTTCATTCGCTCTCTGACAGATTTAGGTCTCTTATTATTATGCACTTTTGCACACAAAGGGCTAAAGGGTAAAGGGTAAAGGATAGTCGGTACGTGTATTTTTGCATTTACTAAACTCCATTTATTTGACTGTGCGAGTTTTTGATGTAAATTCAAACTAGTTGGTATTGGTATTTTGCCTTGAGGCAAGTTGCATGAACTTCTCGAAATGTGTAATCATAATATTTAGAAGAAATTAGTCAAATGCACGATTACGTATATCATGTACCTAGTTACTGATATTATTTAATGATTTAAATTAATGATAACATTTTTTACACAACTATTTTTGACCCATTACATTACAAAAGCGCGACTTTTGATACAAATTTTGTCATCATTTTTTTTCAAACTTTAATGAATTTTTATAATTATAAACTACTTACCGTAAGTACGTGAAATTTTAGTATGTTCTTCAGGACCGTGATGTCTATCGACATGAAAAAATTAACCGAAAAAAATTTCAGTTAATCACGAAGAAACAGCTCGGCCGATCTTTGTCCAAATTTAATCAGCACGATTCCCAAATAATATCTTTTAAATAGTTTTTAAATTTGTAAGATCGATTCAAAATTTTTGGCTAAAACATGGACGAAAATTTTTTCACTTTTCTCTTAATTACCAAGAAATGGCTCGGCTGATCGTCGCACAAAACTGAGAAACGATAGTTCTCATCGTGATACATCGAATAACTTATGAATTTTTTGAATCGGTCCAGGCGTTTTTGAGAAAACGACAAAGAAAAGCCTAAATTTGACAAACGTCGAAAAAACGTCACTATTTCTTTCTAACTTTGACGAATATTTAAAATCAAACAACTTGTCGTAGGGCCGTAATATTTTAGTATGATCTATAAGACTATGGTGTCTACCGTCAAAACAAATCATAAAAATGGTCGAAAAAAATAATAATAAATCTAATAAGAAATCCAAAAATATCAGAATCCAATTAGAACTTATTAGAATATAATAAATCCGAAGTGAAATCCAAGAATATCAGAATCCAATTAGTACTTATCAAAGTAAAATAAATCCAATATGTAAAAAATATCAGGATCTAATTAGAACTTATTAGAATATCAAAAAATCCATTGTGAAATCCAAAAATATCAGAATCCGATTAAAACTTATTTGAATATAATCAATCCAATTAGAAATCCAAAAAAAAATTGGAATCCAATTAAAATAATAGAACAAATAATTATTTTAGAATAAAAAGATATTATATTAGAATATTACAAATCCAATATGGTTTTTCTACTACTAATATTTGTCTCTTCTACTTCAGATACGATGACCTAACTACAAACACCTAGTCTTCACAAAAAAACATTTTGCATGCAGTTTTTAAAATGTAAGCAGATTCAAAAATAAACTCACCATCAGACGTTTCGAATCATGAACGGCGCCCTCTTCAGGGCTGATCGATGATTTCAACGGTTGCCTCGGTCCTACAGACAGGTAAGAAAAAATATCAGAAATTAGTAAATTATAAATAAATAAATATGAGTAATAAAATTTGATAATTATAAATAAATAAATATTAGTAATATAATGAGATGTAGATATTTTTTTGTAAATAAATGTGTTGTGTGTCAGGTTTACCGGATGCGTTCGAACGTTTTCTCAATGGCAGCGCGCAAGCCAATTTTTCTTCTGGTTTTGCGACAGGTAAAAAATGGTGAAAATTTAGTTCGATTGGTCTATTTTCTATATTCTTACGCATTTTTGCACACAAAATAAACCCACTGCGATAGTTTTTACTACACAATCTTTCGAAAGCTTCCATATTTAAAAACTATGTAAAATTTGTAAAAATATAAAATTAGACGTGTAAATCTAATGGAGAACATGTTTTTTATTTGTAACTAGCAAACCGGGCAAACTCCGTTTCACCACCAGATGGTTTCACTTTATGTAACATTTCGTTTGGTGATTAAAAGATGAAAATTGTCTGCTGTTAAACTTGAATAAAAATTTGCACAATACACGTGATTTGATTTGATGGTTTCCAATTGAAATGTTAGGAAACGAATAACTTATGTTTTTTACATTTTTTGCACAATTTCACAGTGAACACAATGCCGGTTTGTCACGTGAAATTAACTGAGCAGAGAACAATGAGTAGCTGTCAAACAAATGAGTAGCGATCAAACAAAAAATATTAGTTTGTAGTACATGCTAAGTATCGGATATGGGGCTGTATGTGAAAAAAGAAAAAGTGTTTTTCGCTTTTCTGTTGAAATCTTTTTCCAAATTTCTTTGCTATAAACCTAACGGAGTCCGAGACCTTTCCAACGAATGCAAAATTGTCGAAATCAGTTCGTGCGTTCTGGAGTTAATCGTCAGGAAGGAAAACCCGACTTATTTTTATATAATAGATAATACATATAAAACTGTTCTCCTAAGAATTTTCCATAATATTGAGAAACAAATATTGTCCGGTTCATCTAAAAACAAGATTTGAATATTACGCCACGATTTTTACCACAATTCAATTCTACTGGGACACTGCTTTACCAAAACTTTTCATTTTAATTGATTAAGCCAATTTGAAGCAAAAGCATTATAAAACAAATTCCGAAACAAGCACCAACACATTTCTAGCTTTCTGCTTTCTCAGACTTCTATTCTACTTTTCAGGATAAATCCAGTTGGGACTTGGAAATCAAAAATTAGACTCAAATTACTGGTATCTACTAAGAAAATTAAAAAACTAGGTCAAAAAGTAGTAGTTTATGATCACCAAAAAATCCAATTAAAACATCAATATTTGAACAAAAATTGTATTATTTATTTTACTTTATTGATAAGTTAACCAGTAATTTGAGTCACCAAATCTACCAAAGCTTTCCTACATTTTTATGCTTCCAAATTACATTCAAGAGGCAATTCTGCCGTAACAGAGCTCATAACATAAAGTTGTCATGGCAACTTATCTATTTATTTGCTGTGCGATCAGGCGTATTTTACATATAAACAAAGTAAGGAAGAATGTCATGATAACCGGTTTTAAAAACCGTTTTTTTTTGCGAAAATTATTGAATTCGAAAACTGGTTTGTTAGTGAAAAAAGTCGGTTTTCACTGTATAAATGGAAAATGACAAATGTAGCCAAATATAAAAGATAGATGAAAGCGTTTTGATTCTTGAAATCATATCGGTTCAATAGCATTTGATATTTTATCAGTCTGCAATGGTTCCCAGAAAGGTTTTGTATATATTAATTTAGATTTTTATACCAGTGTATATATGAATTTAACTCAGTGTGGCTTCTTGTAACTTCCTCTACTCAAAGTTTTACTTTAAAACTCAAAAGAGCCACAAATTAAAGAACAAAAAACTTAGAATTATTATATCAGACTTCAAAAGCATAATTAGCATAATTTAGTCGCAAGTGTTAGAGTATTTTCTATTTCAGAATTTCGATAGACGTTCTCAGTTTTTTTAAATCATATTTTATTAAACAAAAAAATAATTAGAATGTTTAAAATTAATTAGTTAAAATTGCTCGGAACAGACAATACCCGAGTTTAGCTTAATTGTTTTTGAAACTAAAATTGATATTAACAAGTATGTATCAACATGTATCTAATATTTTTTTATTTTTTTTTTTAATTTAATGAATTTTTTTATTTAAAAATATTTTCATTCTTATCTGTGTAACGAAATGTTCGAGGAATACTGAATGTTTTCAAATAGATTATTATAAATATTGTAACATTGTCTAATATTTATAAGAATTATATAAACTGAATTGCTAAGTTGAAATTATTTGTTCAAAGTATATTAGAACTATAGTCAGAATTAAAAATAAAATCTGAATTATTTTCGATATACAAAAAACTAAAAAAAAAAAAAAATGATACAAAATTTTTTTTCCAAAATTAATTATTTTGTTAAGACAAGCAGAAAGTTTTTGAATCATTCAAATCGGACGCTAAGTTCTCTCAAAAACTGTCATTTTTTACATATTTAGCTCCGTATCTTCGAAATGGCTGGGCCTGCCTTTGCCAAAAACTAATAAACACTTCTCCCAATTATTACTAACTGAATGTTTTTTAGATCATTCAAATCGGATACTCCGTTCTCTCAAAAAGTCGATTTCTATTTCCTGCACTCTTTGCTCCGTATCCCCGAAACGGCTGGACCTGCCTTTGCCAAAAACTAATCAGCTCTTTTCCCTATCGATAGGAATCGAATGTTTTTTGAACCATTCAAATCGGTTGATCCGTGCGCCCGAAAACGTGACTGGAAATTTGTATCCATACATACATACACACACACACACATCCAATTTTTCTGAGGTATGCCAAAATGTTCAGAAACCTTCAAAACGTCGAGAAATGTAAAAATTTTCAATTCCGATTTTCGGCCCATTACAATAACTTACCCGACGGGAAGTTAATAATTTTGTTTACTATGTATAAAATTGAACAATAAAGAAATTCAAATCAAATACTGCTCTAAATTACACTAAATTTGCGGATAAATTGCAAAATATTCGAGCAAAAATTTATTTTCTATATAAACTTCGAAAACCGGTTAAAACCGGTTTTCAGTAAAATTAAAATTCGAAAACCGGTTTTCTGAAATGTCGGTTTTTGTATAAACTCTAAACAGAATCTTCGATGTTACAGTTTCTTATATGTATTATACGGCTGATCGCACAGCAACTAGATAGACATTTTGCACACTTCCCAAGACAACGCTATCTTATAAGCTCTCTTACGGCAGAATTACCCCATAAATCTAACTTTTAATTCAAACTATTATTTTTTTCTCCCAGCAGGTAACATCAGTGGCAACTTATCCGGAACAAATGGAATCGGCGAGTTTTATCCGGAAATTCCGGCCTACATCAGAACGACCTCCATGGTCTTCTGTGTGGCCATCATGTGTCTAGGTGTCGTCGGCAATGTGATGGTGCCGATTGTCATTTTGAAAAGTAAGGATATGAGAAATTCGACAAATATCTTCCTGACCAATTTGAGTATCGCCGATTTGTTGGTGCTTTTGGTTTGCACGCCGACGGTTTTGGTAGAAGTCAACACTAGGCCGGAGACATGGGTGCTTGGAGAAGAGATGTGTAAGTAATAATAAGCTTGTTTTTGTCAAAAAATCCGATTTGATCATTAACTTCCCCTAAGGTAAGTTATTCTAATCGTCCAAAAATCGAAATTGAAATTTTTTACATTTCTTCACGTTTTGAAGGTTTTGGTATACCTCAGAAAAAATGTGTATGTGTGTATGTATTCGAATGGAAACAATTTTTCGTCCACGTATTTGGGCGCACGTATCAGCCGATTTAAATGGTTAAAAAAAATGAACTATTGATAGGGAGAAGGGCTAATTATTTTTTAGCAAAGGCAGGTCCAGACGATACGAAGCAAATAGTGCAGAAAATAGAAATCGAGTTTTTGAGAGAACGAAGCATCCGATTTGAATATTTCAAAAAACATTCAATTCGTAATGACGGGGAAAAGTGGTGATTAATTTTGGCCAAAAGCAAGTCCAGCTGTTTCGGAGATACCGAGCTAAATGTGGAAAAAATTGCAGTTTTTGAGTGAACTAAGCATCCTATTTGAATGATCTAAAAAACTTTCTGCTTGTATTGACAAAACAATTGCTTTTGAGGATAAAAAATTATTACATTTTTTTCATTTTCCATAAAATATTTTTGTAATTTTGGTTTAAAAATTCAAAAAATCACCCAGGCTAAGCACAGTCTAAGCGCCACTCTGGTACAAATGTTTACCCAAGTGCGTTTAGACCGTTTATACCTATTATGGAACATTTTTTCAATTTTGTGAAAACTATTGAAAAATGTGAAAATGCCGCCAAGCTAAGCAATACCTAAGCAGTAGACTGCGACTATACGGGAGCACTTTTTTAATTTTGTGTAAATTAGGCAACTATCTTTTTGAAAACGAATTCGAAATGAAATGACGATTGTTAATGTTCTGGAGATAAATTGATTTATTTATGATTTACATTTGATTTGCTCAGATATAACAAGATAGCAAAAATAATGAAAGTTAGTATTTGCAATAATATTTTTGAAAACGTTTGAAATTTCTCGAATATTTTATTACGGTATGGGAAATTACAGCAATTTGCATTAAGGCACGATGCCATACACCACTAGTTTTATATCATATTCCTTACAAATATCTTATACCAAAAAATATATAACAAAATCCGTTTATCTATTCCAAAAACCTAATTTTCCATATCGCCTCCTACGTATCATTCATATCGAACCTACGAAACCAAAAATCATCTTAACCCAGGAAAACATATGAAGAAAAACACTTCCATTGAAAATTCCCCAGAGCATGATTCCGGCATGTGCATTAGCATGTTATTATCGCTCAAAAACCCTGATATGATTTTCTATCTAGGAAAATTCGGAATGAATCCGAAAACCCTTTTTTTATCATCGAAAAACATGTTGCAAATCATTTAGTTTTTTCGCCCCGTCCGTGACCGGTAATATGGAATATTTGTACAGGCGTATACAGAATATTGCATAAGGGCAGAAAATGAGGGTACTTGTGAGAAAATGTATGAAATAGAGGAAAATAGTGCCAAGTAGATTTCATAAAAAATATTAGATTTTTTTTCGTCAAGTCGAGATGTTTAGATCGACAAGGCGAAAGTTAAACCTTTCCGGCGGCAAAATTCATATAAATCTCGGAATTCGCGAGTGGAAAGAGTTAAATTGGAACTCAGATTTGGTTGATAATCGATACTGATTTTAATTTTTGAATTTATCTATCGAGAAGCAGTAGCAAGATTTGTGAAAAATCATCAAACATTTGATGAAACTCGATAAGCACTGATATTGTTTTTGGAGACATGTTTTTGTTACTATATTAAGTCTATATAAGAAAATGCTAATTTTATCTAGTTTTCTACAATTTCTACGTACATTTATTTAAAACACTAGTGGGAAATAAGGAAATTTCTGAAACCTTTGGATCGAAAATTAGATTTAACAAGTGGAGTGTATGGCATCGTGCCTTAAGGCAAATTGCTGGAACTTCCCGTATCGTAACGAAATGTTCGAGAAATACTGAATGTTGTCAATTAGATTATTATAAATATTGTTACATTGTCTAATATTTATAAGAATTATATAAACTGAATTACAAAGTTGAAATTATTTGTCTTAAGTATATTAGAACTTTAATCAGAATTAAAAATAGAATCTGCTTTATTTCCGATATACAAAAAAAAAAAATTTGAAAAAAAAGAATTGAAAATAAAATTATTTTGAAACAATTTTTTTTCCAAAATCAATTAGTTTGTTGAAACAAGCAGAAAGTTCTTTGAATCATTTAAATCGGACGCTTAGTTCTCTCATAAACTGCTATTTTTTTAACATTTAGCTCTGTATCTTCGAAATGGCCGGGCCTACCTTTGCCAAAAACTAATAACCACTTCTCCCAATCATTACTAATTGAATGTTTTTTAGATCATTCGAATCGGATGCTCCGTTCTTTCAAAAACTCGATTTCTATTTTCTGCACTTTTTGCTCCATATCTCCGAAACGACTGGACCTGCCTTTGCCAAAAACTAACTCAGCCCATCTCCCAATCAATAGGAATCGAATGTTTTTTTCAACCATTCAAATCGGTTGATCGGTGCGCCCGAAAACGTGGACGACAAATTGTATTCATACATACATACACACACACACACATCCATTTTTTCTGAGGTATGCCAAAATGTGCAGAAACCTTCGAAACGTAAAGATATATAAAAATTTTCATTTATAACTTGCCCTACGGGAAGTTAAAAATGTTTTCTCCCAAAAACTAATAGTTTTTTCTTAGTGTCAATACAAGCAAAATGATTTTTGAATCATTCAAATCGGATGCTTCATTCTCAAAAACTCGATTTCTATTTTCTACATTCTTTACTGGGAAGTTAATTATTATTGGCCAAAAAAATTTGATAAAATCGACTGCGTCAAAAATTTTAGTCAATTTTTTAAAAGTTAAAGGCAAAATATGTCACTACAAAAAATATTTTTGTTGAGATTCTTTAGTATTTGATAAAGTGAAAAATCGAAGCAAATTATATTATCTTATGTATGACTAAAGAATAAGTTTTCTCAAGAATTTTCCTCAACATCTATATTCGATGGATTGGCTCAAAATAGGTATTTATTCAAATTATAATCCAATTACCAAAATGATTTCGATTAATATCATCGCTTCATTTTTTTATCATGTCTTTTTTATTTCCATTAATAAACGGACGCCACAATTCATTACAGAAAGATTTGTTTTCATTTTGAGGAAAAAGATAAGTAGCAGAAGTGCCCGCTAAAATATTGCCCACGATTTATCAAAGTCGCCGTACAAATAAATGCGAGGAAAAATACTGAAAAGTTGGGAAAATATAAATTTATCCGGAAATATTCGAAAACTTGTGGAGGATGGAATTTTTTTTATTAGTAATGAATAGTTTTATTCATCGTTTGGTAGAAATATGTATATGTATATACATTAGGGTGGTGCTTAATATGGACATTTTCGTATTTCCTTGCTTCCAAGGGCTCAAATGGTTCTAAATTGATAAAAAACAATTCTATGAAAGTTTTAACTCTTAATAGTGTCTTTTAGACAGAGCGCAATTCAATCAAGGATTTGTATGGAAATAGCATGAATTTTTTTTTAAAATTTTACAGAGCGTAGAATTTTCAATAAAAAATGACACAAGTTTTCACTTTTAATTCATTTGTCGCTAAATTATACCTAATTTTTTTCCATGCTATTTCCATACGAAGTTTGATTAATTTGCGCACTATGTAAATGTTAATATTAAGAGATAAAACTTTATATATATATATATATATATATATATATATATATTCGCGTGTTTGTGTATCATGTTGTATTTACATAATATCTTGTATATTATGTGTCGTGTTTGTGCAAAATGCCAATGATATTTGCTTGTCGAGTTCTTTAAATGAGGATCACAACCCCATTGGAATATAAATAGGAAAAATTTGGATAGAGAGTAGATTTTCTACTTGATAAGCACGTAAATAAATAAAAGATAAATGTTTTTAGTTTCTTTTACAAAATAAAAAAGCTTACACTTTTAATTTAACTATTATTAACTTTTTGTTGAGTAAGTTATAGTAATCGCAAAAAAATCGAAAATGAAAATTTAGGGGTTCCTGAACATTTTCGCATACCTCAGAAAAAAAGGATGGTTGTGTGTGAATGTGTTTTGTGTATCCGCATTTTTTGTCCACGTTTTTGGGCGCATTGATCAACCGATTTGAATAATTTAGAAAGCATTCTATTCCTACTGATGGGGAGATGTGCTGATAAGTTTTTGGCAAAGGCAGGTCCAGCCGTTTTGGAGATACGGAGCAAAGAGTGCAGAAAATAGAAATCATGTTTTTGAGAGAGCAAACCGTCCGATTTGAATGATTCGTTAACTATTTAATTTGTAATGTTGGAGAGACGTGGTGATTAGTTTTTGGCAAGGACAGGTCTAGCCGTTTCGGAGATACGGAGCTAAATGTGCATAAAATTACAGTTTTCGAGAGAAGGAAGCATCTGATTTGAATGATTCCCGAAACATTTTGCTTGTATTGACATTGAGAAGAAACTACAAGTTTTTGGAAAACACAATTTTTTTATTTCCAAAAAAAATTTTTTTTTGAATATCGAAAATGATTCAGATATTAATTTTAATTCTAGATAAATTGATTATAGAAATGTAATTTCGGGTTAAAAATTAAAAAAAAATCCCACACTAACAAGCAAAAAGTAAGCAAAATAAAAGTAAAAGTAAAGCAAAAATTGTAAGCATAGTCTAAGTGACAACCTGTAGCAAATATATTTGCAAGTGCATTTAGAATGTTTCTGTATTGGAACACTTTTCTAATTTTATATAAATATTATAAAAATGTAATTTTAAGTTAAAAATTTTAAAAATTACCCCTACTAAGCACAGTCTAAGCGCCAATCTGGTACAAATGGTTTCACAATTGCATTTAGACTGTGACTATACTACGGGAGCGCTTTTTCAATTTTGTGAAAACTATCGAAAAATGA